TATCAATGTGGACAGCAGGAAAAGAAGCAAAATGAGACAGTGTCTGCTAAGACAGATTGAGACAAGTCAGCAGCAAGTGTGATTACAGCAGGCAATCTTTAACCTTTTCTAGCATTACAGTATTAGTCTGTGCATCCTTTTCTCAGGTGCACTGAATATTCTAGAGCTTTCAGGGATTTCATGCAGGATTTTGGAATTTGTTTCTGAAGCAGTAAGGTTCCTCTTCAAGGGGGGAAGGAGCCAGTAATACCAACATGCCTTGGATACAGGCCTGCATGAATAAGGAGGGTGCATGGATATAGACACTAGACAGCTGCTTATCAACTTTTCTATTCCCACACAAAGCACAATTTTCTGCATTAATTTTATGACCACAGGATTCTATCCTGCAAAAACAGTATACTAAAAGTTTTAAGATACATTCTAAGACTTTTTAATTAAAATGATATATCAACTAAGGATCCGTATCAAACTGCCTGTGTACCCACAGTGCATCTCAGGCAAACGTGCAGACAGCAGAATTTAGCCTGACTCAACTCAGCAGGCCAGAATTTTGCTCTGAGCTGCCATTACAGAAAAGAGCTTAATCTGCTTTCTTGTTTAAGCAAAGTTTTCATGAAGGTAGGTAATCTGGTGTCAGATCAGATCTGGTATTTTAAAAAAGATACTCTTAACCTGTGAACACGCACATTTCTTTTCCTGTTTTATGTTAAAAGCATTATGAAGTTTATTTCAAACTGGCATCAACATATCACTTTGACTATCATTAGCATTACAAAGATTCTCAACTAGTCCAATTGTGCCATTCACTCACTGCCATATCTGAAAGCAGTGTTATTTTTGTTATGTAGAAAGAAATAGTAATTCCCCAGCACCAGAACAAACCATTTATAATTTCTAATAAAGCAACAAAACTTGCTCTATGATGAAAATATTTTACTGTGTGTAATATCTGGAACTATGAGTTTGTGTTACTTGTTTGACTCCCTCTCTTTTGCAAAAGAAAAACTGTGTGTTCTTGTGGGTGAACGTGTACTGCAAGACAGAAGGTAAGGGAAACAAAAGTAATATATCTGCTTATTGTTGTGAAAAAATGTATTTGTATTAAACAAATGACCCAAACTACTGTAGTATTCTACACGTGTCCCTTTGTTATACAGAGAATCACATGCTGAACATGAACTGGCAAAAGCATACTGTTGCCAACAGTGAACAATACACTGGGCTGCACACTTGATACCGATAAACCTGTTGGGTCAGAGGGACTAATTTTGGGTACCACACCTTGGTGGAACACTCAGGAAAATAACCCACAATACAACAACATTTGAAAAAAAAAAAAAAAAACACAAAAAAACTATGATTGCTTAACTTGCAGAAGGGAAGATTGGGAAGGGGATATATATGAACTGGTTTCAACTACATAAAGAACTCCCAGGAAAAAACAGGTCTTACATACATAGCAAAATGGAAAATTAGTACTGCCAGGAGAAGAAGGGGAAAAAAACTTGGTAAGGAGAGCAGTGCCTTGGAATTAACTGTTTGTTATATTTGACTGTGGAATGTCCAACACCTGAAAGCTTTAAGGATGGGCTGGACAAAGAAAGAGTTAAATGGTTTACAGCAAATCCCACCTCAGATTGTCAGAATGGATCAGGTTCCCTTTTTTATTATAGTAGATTTTTACTTGCTGAGATTTTTTTTTCCTTTTCCCCTAAAGGCAAATGCTTTCTTAATGAAAAGAAATGCTGCATGCTCACATCATACAATAATCTGTGTACTTTAAAAGTCAGGTGTAAAATGAAAAAAAGAATCCTATCTTGAGAAATATACAATGTTCCAACCAAACTACATATTTATTTTTCTAAAGAGGGTTGTATCCACCTACCCAGTATCTTTATCCTAGCTTGTCAACTGGGGAGAGAGTGGGATAAGTTTTGAAACATCTCACTTCTCAATGGAATAAGTCATCATATGGGTGATGACTGCTAAGAATCTTATGTTCAAAAAGCAAGAGAAGCATTCCAGCAAATGGCATTCCCTACATGAAAGGCCAACAGATTATTCTTTTGTTAAAGCTACCCTACCTCACTGTTTCAATCAAAGATGGGCTCATTAATCCTTACAAGATATGATTCAGAAAAAAACAGCACAGTTTATTCTATAAAAGTCTGTTTTTGTTAAAATGATACTTCTTGCTACATTTTATTTGTATACTTTTGTGCTTTGATAGTTAAAGGAACTTGAATTTTAGCAATTACACCTCTGCAGTTAGAAAACAGGGAAACTGTGAAGCAGTATCTTACGAAGATAGGAGTGATGGAAATATTTCATATAATTTATATATATAAATATATAAAATATATTTTTATATTTTATAATTTTATCTCTTACTAAAAAAAAACAACAATCAACTACAAAGAATTAAAATAGAGGATTTAACATTGAAGTCTGTAATCCTCAGTTACAAGTAAACAGAATGTCAAGGTATTCCCCACAGCAAATTTCTAAGAACAGAGAACAATATAAAAATGTTTCTCATTCCCACTGTTAACCCCAGCTGCTTTCTAGATTTTAATTTTAATTTCAAAGAAACAGAAAAAAAATTCAGAACTCCTAAGAGCATTCATCCTTTTTTCTACCATAGGGGAGAAACTGATCAACATACAAAACCCTACTAGCTGGCTTTTAAAGCACAGGCATGGTTGAACTATGCACCTGATTGAAGAGATTCCACGAGCTTGTCTCAATAACACAAATGAGACAGAAGTCTCTCTATACCTCCATTACAGGCTTCTCAGCACAAAACCTCTGAGCACAAAAATAATAAATAAATAGCTTTGTCTTTTTCTTTCCCATTGCCACATTAGTATTCTGCAACAAAACTAATCTGGTAAATTTGTCTAGCACATTAACTTAAGCCAGGATGACTTTTCAATTCAAATATGATTATTTGATAACTACATACTATTTTTTCTGATAAATCAATTTAAGAAGTTCACACAAAATAACTTCTTTTTTCATTACTTATGTAGCAGGTCAACAAGAGTGTTTAAATGCCAACTAAACAGGCAGTGAATACATGGACTTCAAGGAAGAAAATCCACAAACTCAACAAAGTCTTAATTTTAAATGTTCTTGAAGTGTGAACAATAGATGTTAAAAAAGAAATCACTTCAAATATTTTACTATCATATCAACCCCACAAGTAATAATTACTTTTTTATAATGCCTTATTGGCGAATTGTTTCAAGCAGTATAGAATATCATTCTCCATAACTTTGCATGACAATCTTTTTTTTTTTTTTTTTTTTTAAAGCACTCACCGGGACATCAGCCTAATAGATTTTAATCACTGTGACATGCTAAACCTTCTTGTTACTTTACTGCTCGTTTTCCTTTGGCATTCTATCCAATCTGATGGGAAAATGACTTTTCTGCAGTGTTTCTACTTACAGCTTCAAAGCTCATCAGACACGGTACACAAGGAGAACTTTTAATCTTCTGAAAGGCAAAATCTGTCAAACCACTGTTCAAACACACACACGGCTTCAGCCCAGACCAATTATCCCAGCTCAGCTTCCAACACAGTTTAACACCTCAAGCTTTATAAATTAAACCAAGCTGAATTCCACAGCACGGCTCAATTCAATGAAGTGAAAAAAATATCAGAGGCCTGCCCTGAACTTCAGCACACTCATTTCCAAAACACAAAGCAGTGATGTGATAGCTTAGTGATATGGCTGGTGCCAGAGGATAAGACTTCTAACCAGATTTAAGACTTGCAGTCCATCTGAAGATGCGTTAGATTATTCCTACATACTTCAGGTCTGTTAAATTTATTCAGGTTTCTTCTTTAGGTTAGTTTAAGGACATTGGTTAATTTTGTATTACCTAAATAGATTGGTTTCCTAAAACACAAAAGGATAACACAAGCCTATTTTGTAAAGAGGCAAAAACTGAATATACAAAGTAACAGATTCAGTAACATTTACTGCACAGCTAAGAAAATGGCACACCTGGAATATCTACAAAAGAAAACTGGCCCATGTAACTAATTACCATGGCAAAGCCTTGTTGTTTAACACACAAAACTATACTGGGGATCAAGTACTAGAACGATCATTCACCAGGAATAACTGTTTCCACATAATTAGCAGATACCTGAACTGTGAATGCTACAATGTGTTCCAACAGTACATCTCAACTGTGACTTCTGTGCACAGACAATCCTACTTAAAACATGCTGTGAAAGTACCTTGGCTTTATCCTTGCCCTTTTTCCTCTTTTATTTTCTGGTATTAAAAGTGAGAATCTGCTATGAACCTGCCTGATTGAAAAGGCAATTGAAGACATCTTAAAGTTGCATCATAAAGCAAGCCTGATATGTAAGTCCTAAGCAACTTAAATTTAAAAATCACAGCTTTCTCAACTGAGGGAGTCAGAAAAATTATAAAATAAATTTAAAACCCCAGACTGTAGGGACTTTAATTGGCTTCTGATCTGAATTCTTCAATACAGAACAGTGACAACAGTGTAATTCTCTCAAATTCTCTTGAATTCAGTGTTATGCACAAAACTGCATACACTGAGAGACATCCCAGCCACAAGAGATGGATAAAAGCTTTGACTAGCTGGGCCCACTGTTCAGGAGGGTACCTGCTATTTATATACTAAATGAAATACATTCTTGCCATTACCAGGAAAAGATAAGTACTTCTTACCACAAAGTATTTCTAATGGATATCTGAATCCCAACAGCTCTCTGAATAGGGAAGAGGTATTCAATTAGTCAGCAATTCAATTAGAATTGCTTTATCAACTCAGGAGTCTGCATACTGAAGAGAAGATTCAGTAGGAGAAGTAAGGAAGGACACAACATTTAAAGTATCTATATTAAAAATATTTTATCCAATAATATACAGCTTTACCCAATCATGCACTATTTACTCTTCACCATAGCTACACAAATAAAAGAATGCAACTAGCAAAGCCTTTGCAAATATAGTTCAAATTTATTTTTATTTCCACTGATAATTAAAATAGGTTTCTTACAATGCCCTTCAGCTGTTTCAGCTCTTGAATCAGCTGTTGCTCATTAGGCCACCTCTTCTGCTTTATTCAGTTCTTCTTTAGCTTCTACATCTGCCACCTCAGGGTGACTGCAAGCAGCATCCCTAGCTGAGAGCTTTTTCATTTTGATGTTTGGCAGTTTCCTCAGATCACCATCCCATTCTCTTAAAAAAACAAATAAATGTGCATTAGAAAGGGTGTGGTTAGTCAGTCAAGAGAGGTTCTCCTCCCCCTCTATTCTGCATTGGTGAGGCCGCATCTGGAGTATTGTGTCCAGTTCTGGGCCCCTCAGTTCAAGAAGGACAGGGAACTGCTCAGAAGAGTCCAGCGCAGAGCTACAAAGATGATGAAGGGAGTGGAACATCTCCCTTATGAGGAAAAGCTGAGGGAGCTGGGTCTCTTTAGCTTGGAGAAAAGGAGACTGAGGGGTGACCTCATCAATGTTTACAAATATGTAAGGGGTGAGTGTCAGGGGGATGGAGTTAGGCTTTTCTCAGTGATGACCAGTGATAAGACAAGGGGTAATGGGTGTAAATTGGAGCATAGGAGGTTCAAGGTGAATATCCAAAAAATTTTTTTTACTGTGAGAGTGACAGAGCACTGGAACAGGCTGCCCAGGGAGGTTGTAGAGTCTCCTTCACTGGAGACATTCAAAACCCACCAGGATGCGTTCCTGTGTAATGTACTCTAGGTGACCCTGCCTTGGCAGGGGGGTTGGACTGGATGATCTTTTGAGGTCCCTTCCAGCCCCTAAGATTCTATGATTCTATGATTTAAATAAATATGAAATGAACAAAAAATCCAATCAACCAAACCAAACAATTACCAACAGAAATAGGACTAGCAGAATTAATTCACCTTGCCTCAGAAGATGCTAACTCAGGTGAGGCTGCTTTTCTAAACTACACTATCAATCCCACTACAGAATGAATAAGCACCAGCATTTTCACCTGATATTGTCCACTGCAGCAGCTGTAATTTCTCTGTGAAAAACTGAGTACTCTTAAGATTTGACCTTCGGAACAAAAAATATATGATTCACTTTATTCCCACAGACTATTTGTATCCTCAGTTACTTTAGGCCACTTGCTTTCAGGTTTGAAATATTCAACTCCCAGTCTTGCAAGCAATAGAAAAGCAGTTTGGAAGATCATCTTAATCTGGATTCTGAATTTGCAGAGCTAATACCACACATATAGGAAGTCCTTTATTATGATCTATGGTAACTATTAATACCTTGTATGACTGACTTGAAGGGTACACAAAATGTTAGCAAGCATTAATTCACAGTATAGTATTTCAAAGGGCTGCAGCAAGGAGGAAAGGTTCATTTAAATACCACAAGTCACATCCAGTACTGAATTACTAGAATGCTTGCTTGACTATAGTAAGTGCACTACATGGATAACTTCTCAAGGACAGAGACAGTATTTGCCACTTATAAGACAGACATGCTTTTCTTCTATCAAGATAATAAAACAACACTTCCATCAGATGTCCCAGTACAAGTATCCAATTTTGTATTTATAAATACGTCAGCCAGAGGCCTCTCTCTTTGATCTTTCTGGCTGTACTCCAATATCCTGTGACTTCTGGCTACATATCAACCCTAGGATTTAGTGCTATAGCATTCCTGGCAACATAAGCATTCATAAGATTTATTTTTTTTTTCCATTTAAAGTATCTCATTTGATAAAGCTGTCAGCAAGAGTGTTCATTCAATCTATCACCAAGGCATATTGGCTTGCTGGCCCAGACAAGCCAGCACGAAGTGTCAGAGTTCACAAATCTTTTTTATTTAACTGGATGCAAGCTGTGAATATGCTCAACATTTTCAACTAGTATATACACACAAACACTATTACTAGTACTACAGGTAGAACTGGATCTTACAAAACATGACTAAAATCTTAGTGCTGTTTTATTTTCTTAATGGGTTAAGATTTCTTAATTTTCTGACTATACATAACTTAGGTCATGATGTTATATGACTACAATTACCATCTGAAATCCCATTTCAGTAAGAAAACAGTGTAATTCCATTTATCAATAAATCTGTATTTTGATCCTTAAACACTAAGAGTAAATGCTAAGCATTTTTATGTAAATGAGTGAACAGCTGAGGTGATAATTTTAGGTAAAGAGAAAATGTTCTCTAAGAATACTGAAAAAAAAAAAGATACTAAATTACAGAAATTAAATCCTAACTGTTGAAGCTTTCTAACCCTTCCAATGTTTTAATGATTAACTGTCACCACTATTCCGCTTGTAGCAGGTAAATACTGAAATATCAATACCATACCTAGTCTGCTTTTTGAAATGACAAATTCTTTGACAGCTTTGCATAAAATTTTTTTTCAGAAAAAATACACACAACATATCAAATTCAGACACACTATTTTGCATAAGCAAATTAGTAGTGATACTATAAGAACTTACCTGAAAAATTTAAGATGCTTTCTGTTCATAATGTCTGGGATTTCTAATGGGAATGAAATTAAATTCTATTAGATGTGTTACATTAGTCAGGTGAGTCCCATTTCAAAGACCTGAACTAAAGGGTTGAAGATTTCATTTCAGGGATTAAAAGACCAAAAAATGAGAACAAGGATTAGTATTAGAAAGTTTCTAGAGCAATATATGTAAACAGGAAGACCTCTCACTGCTGAAGAAAAGGAAGTGAATTTATACCTATGAGCTGTTCTGGAATTCAAAGGTACATATGAGTATCTGAAAATCGAATCCCAACAAATAGAAAAAAGAGGGTGCTTAATTTTTCTAAACTGACACATCCAAGAAATAGCAAAATTTTAAGCATTTACAGTTTCTCTTTAAAAAAAAGTCCAGTGAAGAAATTAGGATAATAATTTATTTCTTTTAAAAGCATAACTAATCCCTCAACCAAAACCACATTCTGGTTATGCTGGTTTTTAACAGACATTCAGTCACCCACGTAACAAAGTAATTCTGGTCTGCAGCACTTACTCTAAATACACATAACAGGTAAGAGGTAAAATAAGAAAGCTTAGTTTCAAAACTGACTTAAATATACAAGCCTTGCTATAAATTAACAATTAATAAGTAGTCCATAAGTACTTTGAAGTGTTTTTGGAAAAAAACTGCTAACCACTTACATCACCAGGGCAAGCAAGAAAGTCCAGTAGCAGAGTTACAGTCATAGAAGATATTCTCTACAAATCTTCTTTACTTTGGTAATAAAAAGTGAGGTAAACATCTTCTAGAGACCTAGGGTACAGATTTTTTTTTTCTCCTGGGGTAGCCAAAACATTCCTACTAGATGTGCAGTTTATAAACTCAAGCAGAATTTTACCTAGGATGTCTGAGCTGCTTTGCCTTGATTCAGTGTCTTTATCTTCTTAGTCAGTCCTGAAGTATTGCAAGTGATCTGTGCTTAGTATCTTCACTAAGTCATTAACATTTTTTGCCTTAGGAGCCTTGAAATGTTTGCACAGTATAAAATACCTCATTACTCTCTATGAACCATATAGATTTCAGAGCCAGCAGGTTTCACAACAACAAAGATGCTTGCTATCTCTGTATAATTAAATCTGCTTTATTATTTTACCTCTTAAAAATGTGACTTTTCAGCAACTTCCTGTACTGCCCTTTGGCAAAGCCTACACATCCAGTTCTGCCTTTGTTCATCTAATACTCTTCCTAATTCTTACAGTAATAAGTAAGATTGTGCTACCAATGCAGGAGCCTAGATTATTTTACTGCTACAGAATATAGGATGATCATACCTATCACTTCGTTTTGTGGCCAGACAGTAATTACTATTCAGAAAAATATTCCATCACTTTACATTGGATTAAAAAGTTAGCAATTTTGAAGAGCAACAATATATGCAAAAGATTTTGGTACCAATTATGTTGATTTATGCAGCCTGCTTCTTGGTAAATAGAGTGATCCTGTTCACAGCTAAGCAAAGCAATACAAAGAAACAATTGCCTAATCCTGTTTTTGTCTGGTGGTTCCTTGGTTCTGATACACATCAATACTGCATTAGGTCCATCCTGCCCATCTAAGCACCGAAACAATGGTACCTCTTGTTTGTTTTGTTGTCCCTTGAACTGCACTCTGGGCAGCACAATGCTAAATGTGCTGAAATATTCTAGCCTCTGGGAGAGACAGAAGTTCTTCCCTTCTCTCAGGTATGTTACAATGCCTATGCAGTTTGCTTCTAGGACAGAGCTTAGTGATGTAAACAGTGAGTCTCGCAGAAGTGACACCATGCTCACTTGGGCCAGCGGCCCCAGAAATATGCCAAAAGTTTGTTCCTTTTGTCAAAGCACTGATGCAACACACATACAGTTCAGTTACTGCTTTTTCTGATTGAAAAAACACCTTGGAAAGCATTTAATGGCTTTTATTAACTTACTTGGAACTTCCAAAGAGAATACTATTGCAGTTTTATCCAGCCTGTCTTCCAGGGCTCACCAATGTCATGAGCAAGCAGATATTCTGAAGGGGGAGCTTATGTGACAAACGAAGATTTGGCACTGAATCAGTCTTTACTGCTTTGGCAGTAGCAAAATTTTTAAGTTACACTTCCAAGTGTGCTTCCAATACCTTATACAATACAAACCACAGAGTTGCCAGATGATGAAGAAAACTAGAAACTCTAGTCCCGTGCATGTAAAAATAAAATAACCATATACTGCACAGTGACTGATTTTTTTAAGTTCTGGTTGAAAGCTACTGTAGCACTGTATTTTCAGATTACTAACACTTGTCCTAGTCAGAAGTATCTCCTTAGGATGCACCACTGTCATGGTTTTTGCTGCTACTTAGAAAGCTCTTAGTTTGCTTTAAAAATAAGAAGTCACAGGAGAGTGTTTTCTGAACTAAAGATGGAAAAAATGAAAGAAATATGACATGTGGATTAGTGGAAATGAAATGAACACACTGTTTTGGGGAACAGATATTGTCAGCATTGTTAGTGAAAAAATTTCAGTTAAAAATTGAAGTAAGCCTTTTTTGTCAAGTTTTTGACCCTTTCATATAACATTTGAACTTGCTTCTGAGGAAGAACAAACAGCACACTAGCTTTCAAACTCTGTCATGAAGTGCTTAACACTGTTTCATGACAAGGAAAAAGACAAAGTGACTGAGCTTAATTTGTAACACAGAACTTGCATAAAATGCTGTAAAGTCATGACCTTTCCCACTGTTCAGATGGAAAAGCACTGGATCAGATCACTTCAAAATTTTCAGGGGCAACAGAGAAAAAGCTTCTGTCAGCTGTAGGTCTAACTGATCCTGCCTTTATGCACAGGCTTGGACTGGAGGGCTTCTGAAGCACAACTAGAGAAAAACGGGATAGAGGAGTTAATCCCAGTGTCAGAGTGCCCTTCTAGAGCTGGTGCATCTTCCTTTACAAGCTGTTTTTCCTCAGGATTTACACTGTGTATCTTTGAGAACATATGAAGCAATTAAAAGCTAATTACCAAGCATGGATAATGTTCCAAAGAAATAATGAATATGCTTTCCAACTGAAAGCATGCTAACTCTGAGTTCCAAGGGTGTATCCTATAGATCTCTAGGATTTCCACTAAATAGCTTTGCTATGCAATTTTAAGACCCGATTAAAAACAACACACAAATGACAAAGTTGGGAAGAAAACTGCATTAAAAATTAATTTAGCTGCTAACAAAACTCAGCCTCACACATAGACTGAATGTTTCCTGCATAGGTACTATTTATTTTTTTTAAAGACTAAAATCTATTATGCTTTTGGGTATCTTATCTACAACTGTTGTTAAAAGCCAGTTAAGAAGTATTCACTTTTCATTCACATATAACTGGCATATATTATGTATATACACAGCAACAAATTTTAGGAGATTTTCCTAAATGTGAACAATGCATAACGTAGCCTCTTCACAGCAAATGCACATGCATACAAGAATAATGAGTTCAAGAATAGGGGGAAAAAAACCCAACAAATACAAAGTGTGCTATAAAAGCTCCCTCACTACAGCCTCCAACATAAAAGCTTGGTTTCCAGATGATTTCCATTTATCCCCAATCTCTAATTACAGCATTTAGCAGCAACCATTTTCTCTGAATGAATACTGTCCCAGAGAAAGAGCAAAACCTGCAGCAGCTGTGATAACAAATAATGAATGATATGAGAGTGTATTTAATATGTGAAGTTGCACCATGCTCTCTGAATGCTTTCTTACTAATGGTATAATAACCTCAAATTTTGCTTACAATATTTTTTGATTCTTCTTTATTTTTATGTTGTGGTTGTGCATTTGACATCTTTCTATCTAGTCCTATTGCTCTTTTCTGTCAGCTCTTCACAAAGCAGTAAGGCAAAAAGGAAGAACTAAAGTTTAAAAACAAAACCAACCAACAAAACAAAACTGAGATAACTGATTACATTCTTAGTATCTATCTTCCTATGCCTTAGCCCCCAGCTTCTAAGAAACCCCAGATTACACATGAAGTCACACAGATATTCCTGCATTCCTCTGCCATTGCAGTATGTGAAAATACTAATTAACACTGGTAAAATTTTTTAAGTCCTTCATTTTCTTTATTGGTAAAATATAAACTGGAGGAAAATGGTGCATTACAAACAACCCAAACCTTGCTGTGCTTTGTACCCTAACCACACAACAATGTAAATTCTTCAGGTCTTCCATGATGTACTTCCACTGTTACAAGGACAGACTGCCTTCTAATACTTTAGTATTAAAGCCAAGTTCAGCACTCAGCTCCAATGTGCTTATTTGTTTTAAAAAAATACATACATTTCACTACTATTTTGTTCTTGACTCTCTTCAAAACAACTCTGTGCCTTTTGCACTTTCATTATCCCTTTGTCTTTCTTCCTTATCTCACTAGATTACTGCTGCTTCCTTTCAGCCTAGTTGCTATCAAATTTTCAGGCTTTTAGGTCTCTCTTTCTTCCATGTAGCTTCCAAAAATAGAAAATACTTCCAAATGAGTTTGTTTGTTCTTTCAGAAGGCTATGCACCTTAAATGTATATTTTCAGCTTTAATGCTTATGTTGTGTTTTCCACACACGACTGCTTCTTGGAAGATTTTTTTAGATAATCTGCTGCTATAGCAGGCTACCCCAAAGGAAGAAAAATAGTAATAAAAAAGTCAATTAGAGTACCTGGCATTAGAATTTTATTAAAACTTGTGACATGGCCAAGGTAAATGTTTAAAAACACAAAATGTTTTCACCTAGGCTCTTACCTACAAGATCTTTAGTTTCAAATCTTCCAGATTTTTGTGGGGTTTTGATTAAGTGTTAGGCCCTTCACACACACCCCCACACCTCCAGACAGCACCTTCACTCCCTCCAGTAAGTCGAAGAATGGAGCCTAGCTCCTCTTCCTTAGAAGAACAAGAAGAAAAATGTGTTTTTCTATTTGTGGGTTATCATTTATGCTTGTAGGGTAGATTTGTTACCATAGCCCAGGATTCCTTCCTGGATTACCTAAATTTTAACTGGAAAACTCCAGCAATATTCACATTTTGGAAGTATATCAGTACTATAATTTCTGCTACAATCATCCTCCCACATCAAAAACATTTCAACCTTAGTGGAATGAAAGGTCTCTTTCTGAAGATGTTTTAGGCCCATGAGTTCAGGGGCTTTGGTTCTCTTCCAGTTTATGAACCATAAATCCCACTCTCATGATACAAAATTTGTTGAAGTTCCTCATGCCACTGGTCCCCCCCAGTGGAAAGGGGCAAGTCAGGCCACAGGTTTATCTCTAATGGTAAGTTTGTGTATTATTAAAAGTATGTCAGAGGAAGCTGGGTATAAAGACTTCATTGGAGCAAGTCCAGATAACGAAGCCCACCTAAAAAAAGTAATTCATTTGTAGGGAA